TGCATGAAATATATTAAAGTGAATAGATTTAAATAAAAACTACTATAAAATTGGTTTTCATAAATTTAGATTATATATATATATATATATATATATATATATATATATATATATATATATATATATATATATAACCAAATAAAATCAGAGAATTTTTTAACTAATTGTTAATTTTTTTAAAACAATTAAGTCAAATTATCTAAAATACACTTCTAGCTCTCTCTTTCTCATCGAATTTATATATGCAACAACATCATTTTTATTGAAAAATTATAAAAATAACCAATCATATAAATTATAATAATATATTTTAAATAAGAAACAGATAATTGAAGAAATAAATTTTAAATAATATAATCATATATAGATGTTCAAAATAATTTTTTTTAAATCATATATATTCTATTACTCGTCAAACTATAAGTAAAAAAAAAAAAAAACAACGATCTTTTTAAATATTTTTCAGACCCAATTTCATGATAAAAAATAAAAATAAATTATTTATATAAAAGGGGAATAATTTTCATTTGATATTTAAATAAATCATTTATTAATAGATATTATATTATTATACCAATATATTTAAAATAATATTTAACTAATAATAATGTAATATTAATTTAATTATATGTTATAATTATCAAATATGTTATGTTGCTAAAATACTTATCAATTTTTATATATATTCAAATTCATAAAATAATATATTGATATGTTATTTATACCATAATTTAAAATAATAATAAATTATTATATTGTATAATAAATACAATATTCAAAATCAAAATACAAATAACTATTTTATAATAATTATTTGATTTTTTTTGTAAAATATAATGATAGTATATTATAATTATTAACTATAAATAATTTATTTATTTAAATAAAATATATTTCTAATAAATAAAGACCTAAATAATATATCCGACCATATAATAATAGTCCTACAATTATAGAAATTGAAAAGAAAAGAGAAAAAAAGAGGTCGGACGTTAAAAAAAAAAAAAAAAGCACTCGCTATTTTTTGTAAAATATAATGATAATATATTATAATTATTAACTATAAATAATTTTATTATTTAAAAAAATATATTTTTAATAAATAAGGATCTAAATGATAGAGTTGACCGTAACTCGATATTTTTTTATTGTCTCGTGATAAATTTTATTGGACAGAGTTAGTAAAATTAGAACTTAAATAAATTCGGGTATCAAAATAAATAGAAAGTAAATCATAAGAAATTAATAGTTGGGAATAAAAAAATCTTTGTCTCGTAAATATTCAGTGGATCACATATTGATGGTTTGACACTTTTTTCTTTTGATTTTTCTTTTACTTTCACATTAACATTTTAATCTATTCTTATGCACTTTTGAGTTAATAGTTAAATTTATTTTTATATAATAAGATAATTATTTGGTCTCTTTTTATATCTCCAATTAAGTTAATTTTATTTTTAAATAAATATTAAGTTTTCAATATATCATTTTGTCATGATTTTCGGACCAAACCATTAGAATTATTTATCTGATTTGTGTATAACTATTTTTTATTTTTAAAATATATTTGCAATATAGTCAAATAGAAGGCTTTTTCAAATGCAAATTGCGTGACTAATTTTGGTAGTTTAGACATGAAAATCTTTCAATAGAGATTAGGTCAAGCACTTAATGTATATAAAAAAGATAAAAAAAATAGTTTAATTAAGGATATAAAAGACAAATGAGAGAACTAACAAATTATATATATATATTTACGTGATCTAATTACGAAAATGGTATCTAATTATGAATAAAATCATAGAACAAAATAGTTAAAATATACTATTAATTAAGGATATAATTACGTTATATGATTTATACCATAGTTTATGTTCATGTCATATTCTAATGAGAAAATATTAAGATAGTCAAACCGGACATTTTTGTATTTCTTGTCCTTCTAAATTGATTTTTATTAGGCTAATGCTTTATATTTACATTTGGTCCTTCTTTTTTAACGCGTACCAAATTACATCTTTGAAAAAAAAAAACTATAAACCTCTCTCTCTCTCTATGTATATATATCCCTTCGGCATTTTTGCTTTATAAATCCACTCATCTGCACAACTTATACAACATTGGCCTTCCTAGTGAGTGTATGACAGTGAATCTGCACAGAAAAAGAGCAAAAGCAATAGGACTCAAGTCCCATCTAAATGGGACCAGGGACACACTCAAAAGGAGCCCTAGAGTAGGGTATTTTATGCTGCTTCTTCTTCTTTTTTCTTGTAAATTATAACTTAGTTCTTCTGTTTTAAAACACAAATTAATTAGTTCTCTTTATTTTGAAAGATTAACTATTTAGTCATTTTGTTCATTTTATGTTTTTTTTTCTAATTTATTTTGTTTTAAAAAAATAGGAAAAAAGAAAAAAATATATTATGAAAAGATCGATGAAAAAAATAATTTTTAAAATAAGATAATATTAAATTAAATGTAGTTAACATTGGTTAATAGATTAACTAATTAATTTTTTTTTAAAGAGAACTAATGAATTCATTTATAAAAAGTAGAGGGACTAATTTATAATTTACTCTATTTTCAACTAATGCTAGGTAGAATAGGAAGTGAAGGGTGTTGATTGTTGAACACGCATGGAAAAGCAGCAGCAACTTTGAGAGACAAACTTGAAGAAGAGGAAAATAAAAAACATCATATGTCAGTGGGACCAACTGCCAAAGAAGACTTGTGGGGACAAGACAAAAAACCAAAGTGAAAAAAACATTGTTAGATAGACGATGTGGTTCCTTTTCTTCAGCTTTTAAAGAGAAGAGAAAGAGTTTTACTTTGCTTCTTGTCTTTCATTTCCTTCTGTTGTTTTCAGTTGTTGTTGTCTTACTGTCTCTTCTTTTGAAAACAAGGCACAACCCATTTTGCAAGAACCATTGCTTCTTCTGCTTCTGCTTTTGTTTTTTTTTCCTTTTCATTTTCCGATAATGTCTCCCATTTGGGTCTCTTCTTCTTCAATGTATACTTCAAGATCTCTCCTTTTCCTTCCCTTTACAGTTCCACATTCTCCCTCTATACAAAAAAAGTGTTGTTCTTTTCACAATGCAGTTGTTATGTTGAACAATGCTTGCTTTTAGAGACTCCAAAGATCTGCAGATTAACATTGTTGAAGATAGCACTTTGGCTTCAGATTAAGTTTTATAGCCATGAAATTATTAGGTGAGTTCATTTTTGGCAGATAATGTTGTTGGATGGCATTATTCTTTCTCTGACACCCCTTGTTGGCAATTTTTGTTGTTTAGTTATTAAGCCAGATGTGTCTAATATATAATAATATTAGATATGTTGGGAATTTGGAATCTTGCAAGGATATATAAATAACATTACTTGCTTTAACCTCTGTAATCTCTGTTAGATAGATTGTGTTTTATGTGAAAATGTTTACATTATTGCAGAACTAATCAAGTACCCAAATTACAACAATTTTTTCCCATGTTTATATGTCAAGGATAAGACTTTTTGGTCACCATGTTTTTTTTTTTTTCCCCTCCATGTAATAATGTTGCATAGAGAGATGGGCTTATCCCTCCTTTTTCTGAATTTCTTTAGCTTTGTAATCTGCATTTGCCTTGTTAAAAGGATGCTTGTTTCTCTATTTTGTCTAAATGCTGGCAATGGCAAGATTGGAGTGTAAGTTATGGACTCATTTAATGGTTAATGTGATTCAGGATCTCAAGAAAATGATGCGGACTCATCCCCTGGGAAAGGTTTGAATGGGGGCTTTAGGAAGACAAGATCAGGTTGGTATTTGGATTATAGAATCTAAGAGTTAGGAGCTGTGCATTTACGTTCTCTTTTATACCTATAACTGCGTTTTTTACGGTATATTTCAAGTGGATTTTTTATCCTTTGGCTAGGAATTGTGCCTTTCATGGAAAACTTTTGAACTTGGTTTGTTTTTGATCGTTCCGAAAACTTGTCTAATGCCTCTTACTTAGATTGCCTGAAGTGGTGCTATAAACCTGTATGATCTAGGCAGGTTGGTTGTCCTTAAAATTGTCTTAGGCCTCTGACTTAAGTTACTTGTTTTACTTGCAATTATCTGACTTGACATGGTGCTACGTGGGTTGTGGCTTTCTCTGACTTGGACAAGCACAAGCTTTAGAAGTAAAAACGATTTTGTTTTAGCAATGTTTGTTTTTTGTGCCATCTTCCTTCTGGTTCAGTAGCTTGGGATTTATCTTCTTTCATATGCCATTTTTCGTGATAACATGTTAGTTGATCTAAGATCGTCATTCTAGCTTTAAATTTGCCCATCACTTTTCTGGATCAATGATTTATCTATTCTGTGCATGCTTGATCGTTTTCCATATTTTACAATTGGGATTATTTTGGCTCAGGTACTTTGCGAAATGATTTGGACTCATCTCCAGGAAACAGTTTGGATGGAAGTTTCAGGAAATCTAGCTCTGGTTTGTAATAATGGCCAATCCTTTTCTCTTCGTTCTCCTCTCTTTAACTGCTATCAGTTTCAATTGGTTCCTAAAGTTTCATCTAAGAACTTGTGAATTAGATGTTACGAGTTATAGTGGAACAAGATTGAATGTATTGTTTTCACTGTAAGATCATTCAGGTTTTAAATGTTAAGATTCGGAACTTAAAAAAAAAAAAAGGGGAATCATTACCTAATGAATGCAGATGATACAGACTTGGCAAACACAGTTTCCATCTGGTGTACGAAAGACCAATGTCTGAGTGTTTGAAATATGGTTGATGAGCCAAGAAGGAGAAATATAGGAAAGAGTTGTTTTCAACCTATTGTCATCAAGTGCGCAATCATGAAAAGTGCCATGCAGCTCATGCCTCATTGCATGGTTAAAGTTTACTGTCATTCTCTTCAATAGTGTATGGAGATGTTTCCGTCCTGCAACTTAGTATTAACCTGATATACTTCAGTTTTCACTAGATACTGATGTGTCACTAACGCATCGATTTTTGTGGATATAGTGATGTCTGCCCGAAGTTTATCTGGAATTTCGACATCAAGCAAGTCCATTCCCACTTCCAGAAGAGTATTCAAGGCACTAAAAGAGTATGCAAAGAAACTTGTCAACCTTGAATTATTCACGCAGGGCCTTGAGGACTGGGTTTTGGAAAATTCACAAGTAAATTTGTGCAATGAGGGGCAGTTTTTCAGGTCTCCCTTCTCGATTGATGAATTGTGCAAGCTTGATTTAGCATTGGAGGGGGTCCTATTTCAGCAGCTCTTTCGTATGCCGAGTTCAGCATATGCTTCTGATGATTCACAAGAAGACAAGTATTTTGCAATAGAAGATTTCCTTCATGCCATTGTAAATGGACTGTGGCGTACGTTTTGGCGCAAAAGTGGGCCATTACCGTTCTTTTTATCTTGTCCTCGTCACCCTGGATCAAAATTTTATACCGTGGAGAAGGCGATATCAAGGGGAAGGCTCGAAGAGCTCTGTGGTTTAGCTTTGATACAAGGAAATGGGAGTGATCTGCAAGTTCGTTGGGATCAAGTTATGGAGTTTGCCTTATTTAGACCAGATATATTGTCCGAAAATGAGTTAAGATTATCTCCTGGCAGTATATGTGAAGCCCTCTTTTATGGTGTTCATATACTTATTACACGGAGTTTGAGCAAGTTTAGTACAGTTGGCAATGACTCTGTATTTATTTTGGTTTTTGATGCTAAATTTGGTGGGGTAGTGAAGCTTGGGGGTGATGTTGGCAAACTTGAAGTGAACTCAGCTGATCCATACCAATCTGTGACTGAATGGATCAAGTGTAACGCTGAAGTTGCAGTTTCTCCAGCTGACCAGGTATGGAACAAGCTAGGTAATGCAAATTGGAGAGATCTAGGGACTCTGCAAGTACTTTTAGCAACATTCCATTCCATAGTACAGTGGATGGGGTCACCAAGAAAGTCAATAGCCTCGTTGGCTTCGGATCATGGTCTCCGTCTTCAGAAGCGTAGGATGCAGAGTCGCCTGATTGAAAATGAAAATGAAAATGCATTGGTATCCTTCCAACAAATGGTACATCAAGGAGAGATTGAAGAACTTGACCAAAGTGACAATCCTTCTTTGAAAAAGCAAGCATCGCGTTTGAAGCTTAGGCAGGGTGATGTATTGATGTTGGATGACCAGCAGCAGGGACATAAAAGTTTTCAAATATGGGATTCTTTGGTTGGAGGGAACTACTTTATGTATAGTGCCATTTCTCCTGATTTTCCAGAGGAGCTATTGACTTTATATGTGGGTGCTCACCCATCCAGACTAGAGCCATCCTGGGAAGATATGAGTTTGTGGTACCAAGTACAGAGGCAAACAAAAGTGTTAAATATCTTGAAGCAGCAAGGAATATCCTGTAAATATTTGCCAAGAATACTTGCCTCTGGCCGAATTTTGCATTCTGGTCCTTGTAAGAAGCAGAGTCCTGGAGGGCGTTGTGATCACCTACGGTGCGGAACTCCAATACTTGTGACGTCTCCGGTTGGGGAGCCACTATCTTTCACAGTTGCTCGAGATGGCCCATTTTCCTCAGAGGAGGCACTTCGCTGCTGCCGAGACTGCCTAGCTGCTCTAAGAAGCGCATCAATTGCCAATGTCCAACATGGTGATCTTTGTCCTGAGAACATCATTCGTGTCATTGACCCCCAAGGGTCTGGAAACATGTTCCTGTATGTTCCAATTTCATGGGGACGTGCAGTTCTAGAAGACAGGGATAGCCCGGCAATAAATCTACAGTTTTCTTCATCACATGCACTTCAGCATGGGAAACTTTGTCCATCATCTGACGCTGAGAGCCTAATTTACCTCATCTTTTTTGTTTGTGGGGGCCCTATGCAGCAACAGGATTCCATCGAGTCTGCCTTGCAATGGAGGGAGAGAAGCTGGGCAAAGCGTTCGATTCAGCAACAGCTTGGTGAAGTTTCAGCTCTTTTAAAAGCATTTGCTGATTATGTTGATAGCCTATGTGGAACCCCATACCCAGTTGACTATGATATTTGGTTCAAAAGACTAAATGGGGCTGTGGATGGCACAGCAGACAGAGGTAAAACGATCGAAGAAGTAGCGACAAAACCAAGATTGGAAGATGTCGCCGAATCTTCAGGAACTTCTGGAGGTGGCATTTAATCATGTCAATGGAGGTTTTTGGCAGGTTTGTTTTTGTAATTATATCCGAGTGATCACTGCCATTTTTTTCCCTATAGGCTCTTGGATTCTATTACCGACAACCTGCTGTCCTTCTCAAAACATTAAATTCTTGACAATTGATTCTCATTGGCACAAATTTTGTTGGCCATTTTTGAAGTGGATGCAATGTAAATGCTTCTTTATTGCAACTGTTAATTCCATCTATTCTGGCGATTTCAATTTTAATTACTTCTGTCGTAAGCAAGCAATAGAAACCAGTACAAACATTTTCTTTTCTGAAAGTTCCAAGTAAAAAATTGTCGAAAACAAGGGATTGGAATTCGAAGGCAATTTTATTAACAAGAGAATGATGTACAATTGGAATTCTGGAGAAAACCATAAACAAAAGAAACACAAGCAAATCCTAAAGAAAATCTTCATTCCAGCGGCAATATCAGCAGAAGCCTGAGTAGCATCTGCAGCAGAAGGGAAGTAGGAGCAGCAGCAAATCGAAAGCAGAAAAGCCAGCAAAAACAGACTATTTGAAAATAAATCCTATTTATTCATTCATAAATTTTTGAGGAATATTTATTGGTTCATATTATTGTCAAGTTTAAGACCAAAATTTTTTCCAGTTGAAACAAAAAAATGTAAAAATAAATCCTATTTATTCATTCATAAATTTTTGAGGAATATTTATCGGTTCATATTATTGTCAAGTTTAAGACCAAAAAAAAATTTCCTTTTAAATTGTGAAAGTTTTTAATATTTGGTAAATTATTATAGTTTGTTATAAATATTTTTCTAATTAGGTAGCTCAAAAATATAATATTCCAAAAGGAAGAAAAAAGACGAAAAAAAAAAATTGTCAGGCTGTGGGTCCAATGAGTCACAAAGAGTCACGCGGGCCAGTTTAACATGGTTCACCACTCCTTCGAACTTGATGGATACATCTCCTTCCCATGTACGCTTTTCTCCCTTCCCTTATGTCTATAAAGTCTGAAAATCAAAATTCAAAACCCAGAAATTAAAATTCTCTCAAACGCACAAACTTTTCTCATTTTTTCCGAGTTACAAAAAGATCCCATTTGTTTTTTTTTAAACAGTCAATGGAAATTGGTGAGAGCTCTTCTGGTTCCAATTCCTCCTCCAAGGAAGTCTGGGCCAAACTTGGTATTTTCCTCTCCTCTTTCTTTCTACAGTTTTTGTGTTCTTTCTTATGTTGTGCACTGTTTTTTTCCCAAGAAAATGCCTCAAGAAACTGTTTTTAGTTAAGTTCAGTGTTGAAACTGACATTTTCTTGGAAGTTAAATTGAAATGAGAGAAACCCAGATGAGGAAATTTAGTAAAGAAATAAAATTTCTTGGATTTGGGTTCTTAATTCATTGTTGCATTGTTTAGAATGCTACCTGTTAATGTAATTGTGCTGGCATGTTTCTGGAGGGATTGTTGCTGTAAGGAATTACTTTTCTCGAATGTGAGTGAACATGATCATATTACATTCAAATTAGAAAGTTGAAGTCTTTTTTAACATAAATCATGAACGATAAACCAGTTCGATTTTACACTTTTGTAGTGAACATTGGCCTTTTTTGTAAATCAAGTATCAAATACTACACAGTTACTATTTCGATTGGGGGGCTATAGAAGAAGTTTGAACTGCTGGTATTGGAGCCTTAGATATGTTCAATTCCATAAATGATAGAATGTCAGTGTGTCTCCAATTTGTAGACAATTCTGGTTGGTAATGTGCTTGCTGAGAGTCATATGCCTTGTTTGCTTGTTGGAAATGCTCATTTGCAACGCAAACTTGTAAAAGCGAAGTGAATAAACTACAGAGTTTGACTGAAAATTTTTTTTTTTGGGATTTTGGATATTCTTCTTGCAGTACCATCTGACTCGAGATATTCTGATGTTGAGGTAAGGTCAGATGAGATGGTAATCCGCTCAGAGATTACATCTTCTTCCCTTGAAAAGCATGAATGGTGCAAAATAACAAGGAATTCAGATCAAAGTTCTGCCACAATGCAAAATAAGAGGTGATTTTGCATTTCCTAGTTAAAACTTATTTTTTATTGTCTAATATCATGAAGAAGTTGATTTCATCTATAGAGATTGATAGAATTAAATAATAACACTCTGGCAATCTAACTATGGACTGAATTACCAGACAATTGATTAAATCATGGGCAAAAAGGTTGTCTTCTTGTGGGAGATGAACTGCTTCACTGATCCAGCATCGGTTTTTAATTGCAGATATTCTTAAGCCAATTATAGAATTACGCTCATTGCCCTTGTTGATCTATTACTAACATTTTGTCTCCAGTACCATACCATTAAGGTGATATGACTTTTGGTCCTAGCAAGTAGCAAATCGTTTTTCTATTATCCAAAAGACAATCAATTTATTGGAGCAACCATGGTGGCAGGCGATTTTGTTTGCTAGTTTTCTGAATGATGAATCATATCACTTATAACTCTTGACAGATACATTCATTTTCATAGTTGATAGGAGATTCTCAAATTCTGTCATTTTGTTTGTTGTTTGTTGTTGCTGATACAGCTCGAATACAATCCTTGTTGATGAGGCCACTGTCCAAAATGAAGATGATATAGTGATAAATTGTGGAAGTGAAATTATTCCGGGCCCTGACAGAGAAGGTCAGCAATTATTTACTTCGTCTTAAGTTATTTTATTGTTTCTTCTTTACAATAATTTACTTGAATAGATACTTCTGCCAACAAAAACTGTTTTTTACGCCTTATATTTTCAATTTATCTGGAGCTAAATTACAGAAAACATAGCAATTTCAATCGCATGTCGTACTTTTTTTGTGTTCTACTTTTGTTTTTTTTTTCAAAAAAAAAATCAGAGATCAGTTTAATACTTCCATATAGTCACATTCTAATGTGATTTGATCTCTGTTTCCTCAAGCAACAACATTATTTTGATTTTTTTTTTTTTTTTGGATAGGATGCATAAATTTTATTTCATATAATTGAGAATTGGACAGGCTTGAGATGTACTTTCTAGTGGGATGTTCAATCATATGGTGCTGAATTTTTGTTGAGAATATGCTTCTGGAATGCAATTGTTTCCCATTTGATTCTGACTATCTCTTATAAAAAGGTTTTTTATTGCTTACGCCTCTAGGATATTTGAGCTACAGATTTAAACTACTGCCTCGAGAGTCTTTCACGCGACGGTTAAAGGTGAATGATTAATCATATCTGGAATTTTTAACTTTCTTCTTGTATGCCATTGTGGACTACGAGTGTGCTGATGTTGTTCTTTGGTTTTTTGTTTTTCCTCTACCAGGTCTGTATAGATGCCGAGCATGCAAAATGCAGCATTTGCTTAAACGTATGGCATGATGTTGTTACTGTTGCTCCTTGTCTTCATAACTTCTGGTTTGTGATTTATTTTATTGCTTCATTTTAGAACAAAATTGTAGTTTCAACCTGTTGATTTGTAACTACTTGTCCTGTGCAACTCAGCAATGGATGCTTTTCAGAATGGTTGAGGAGATCACAGGAAAGACATGCAAGTGTCCTCTGTCCTCAGTGTAGAGCAGTGGTACAGTTTGTTGGTAGAAACCACTTTCTGCATAGTATAGAGGAGGTAATACCTTAAGTTTCTATCAATTCCATGGTGAACATATGATATCTGTATCTCAACACATTTTATGTGCCTGTTTGCATTGAGACACATATTTCCCTTTTGTTTGTAGTTGGTACATTAATTTATTTGTTTTAGGCTGCCTTAGCATCATATTTTTCAATAATTTGAAGTATAGAAAGATTTAGTTACTGATTTTCTCTCACATTTATCAAAATATCTGCTATATGTACTTTTTTGTTAGTTTCGTTGCTTTATGTTATTGCTAATGCTGCAATATTACTTCATTTATAATGTTGCCATTCTACTTATGTCTATAGTTCTGGATGACAGTTATGGTTACCTGATAATATAATTTCATCAACAGAAAGAATGCCTATGGGATGCATTACTGCTTATTGAATGAGTCTTGCAATTTTTAGCCAATTCTTTAAAGGCTTATCCCTTCACGTATTTGTGTGCACTGGATCTCCATTTCATGCCTTTTTCTGATTCATATTTGAGTGTTTAAAATTTCAAGGGCATGCCTTTTCTATTTGATAGCATGCTCACGGTTTATGGATATTACTTTTTAACTGTAATAGTAACTTAAGGTGCTGATTTTTTTTTAGGATGTATTGCAAGCTGATTCTTCACTTAAGCGGTCAGATGAAGAAATAACTCTTTTGGATTCCTATGCATCAATAAAATCAAATCTTGTAAGTAATTTCATCATCTGAAAAGCCAAGATACTTGATACAAGTATATGAAATGTTGATGCCCAGGATGGAATTACAAGATACGATATATGTGATGTGTCACATTTAGGAATGAGAAATGTGACGTTTAGTTGCATGCTTGCTTCCAGATAATCTGTCCTGAAAATGATAAAAAAAAAATTACCAAAGATTACTGATTAGTTGAGATATTGGATGCTTCATGATATTTATTCTTGCTCATTTCAAATAGTTTTTTCTTTCACGTATATGCAATTGATGGAATTCTGTGTCCATTGCAGTTGCTTTTGTTATTGCTTAAGTTATTGGGACATTAGTTGTTTATATCTTTGGTCTGCATATCTTCTACCTATAGAATGGTGCTTTTAGCTATTTAATTTATGCTCTGATGGGTTTAGATCATTACAGTTTTTAACTTCTGATGTATATTAGATCATTCAAACTGGAAAAAAGCTTCCTCGAAGGAGGTCACGCCCAGCTTTGGATAATGAAAACGAAGTTGCAGATTTCCCATGTCCTCAATGCGGTAATATTTTTAATTGCTTTGCCAATCATTTGTTTAGAAATCATTTCATTTTTTTGGAATATGATAGTTTGGCAATACTGAAACCCTTGGAAGGAAAATAGTCCGTTCTATTCTCAAAGAAGAAAGTAGGGGCCATTTTCTAGCGCGCAATTTGTGGGTTTGATCTTTTATAACTTCTATAAACAAAACTGCTGAAGTTTGGAACCTAATGTAGATCAATCTATTATAGATCACTCCTTATGTAGGTGAAATCTGGGTCATGGTTATTTTCATATCATTCTCAACCTCTTTTCCTTTGTTTTCTGGATAAATTTGTCCTGGGTTCCTTCCAAATGCATCTATTTAGCAGGATTTGTTATGAGAATTGAGACTTAGAATCTCCATAGGGTTCTTGAACGTGGGAAGAAACCCTAGGTAAAACAAAAGCTCTGTTTCTTACGGCAGAGCTTGTTACATTCTACTGAGTTGAAACAAACTGACAAGAAGATGGTAGTGAGTGTCGATAGTTATGTTAGAGTTATAATGTTGTGACTGTCATCAGTAGTGTTAGCCACCTTGATATTCACGATTTTGTTCCTGAACATGCACACAAACAGCACTGTCATCAGCTGCTGGATTCTAAATGAAAAAAATTACCTTCCATACTAAAAGAATGGCGCCTTAGAGCATTTTCTACAAGAAAAAGTTGCTTTTCTATTTTTAGTTTTTGATGGACTTTTATGTTGCATATGAGTTCTAGTGCCGCTACTTGTCAAAGAGTAGGAAAATAGTTTCAGTCAGAAGTCCTATTCGTCATTGATTTCTTTTTTCTTCCATTTGACTACCATGTTTTTTACATAATTTTAATGCATGTTTTTATTCTAGAGAGTATCGATCATGTGAAATAAATGCTTCTACATTTTTTACTTTCAATAACTGGCGATGAGAATGTTAGCCTTGAACATGTTTCTAATATGCGATCTTTTCTTTTTAGATCCATTATTTATTTAATTTTTTTGTTTTAACAATCAGGTACTGAGTTCAGTGGCTTCCGCTGCAACCAGAACACAATTCATTTACAGTGCCAAGCCTGTGGAGGGATGATGCCTTCTAGACCTGATATTGGAGTACCGCAGCATTGTATGTGTCATGATTTGCGTCTGGTTCTTAATTATTCTTGGATGAAGAGTTGGTTTTGTGTTTTTCTTGTGTTATTTATTTTTTTAATTCTGGCCTATTTTTCCCATTTTTTATGCTTCAATTTATTAATGATTTATGTTTAAATTCTGAGAAGAAATAATATATTGGATCAGTACTATTTTATCAACAGTGAGCTTGACGAAAGCAGCTATAATACCTCTTTAATTCCTTTCCTCTTGCAGGTTTGGGATGTGATAGAGTATTTTGTGGTTCATATTGGCATGCTCAAGGGGTTTCCAGAAGTCACTCTCACTCTATTTGCAATCGTGAGAATTTTAAACCAGTATGTGCACTTTTGTGCTTGTCTTTTCTAGATTGCAGTCATTTCTAAACAGTTCTTTCTTGCAATAGGATTGCTATCACGTGGACAGCTCTCTCTGTATGCTTCTTTGAGAAGTTTCCTTTTATTTTTGTCTGTTCCTTATTTCTATTAATCACATTTTGGTATGTGCTAAACCCATTCTGTCTAATTTTACTTCACCTGTATGGTGTATTCCTAGCCGCTTAAGTCTATGTCTATCTCAGAATTTCAATTTCTCACACAGAATTCTAGTTTCTCACACATATATCTCACCTTTTAACTTAATGTGCCTGTCTCTAAATTGTTCATTGGTGCACCTACCGTCTACTGCTACAGAGGATAATGCTGTTGACTTAATCTATTACACCAAATATGGAGCTTCTTGCAGAAAATTTTCCCCCATTGTCTGTGTGTATCTTCCCTTTACTATTTGACATTCCTTGCTTCTTCTAGTCACAAATGTTCTTTCTTCTAGATTATTTTGAGCACGTATTTTTTATTTTATCTGATACGATTTGTGTGTGGCCTTAGTTGTTCCATGGGATCCATGATAATTCTCAAAGTATTTTGTGATTTCTCCAAAACCATATGATGTTTTTTCTTCTGGATGCATCAAGTTTGGGAACATATTAGGGTTTGTTTGTTTTTGTTAATATGCCATGATCTTGTGCTTTGCAGATCTCAGAGCGTGCTATCTCTAGGATTCCATTTTTGGCACATGAAAAAAACCGGCATGAACAGGATGTATGAATTTCTCTTTCCTAGAATGTTAATCGGTAGTAACTGCACAAAAGTTGATAAGATTGACTCACTTTTTTTTGTTTTATAGATCACAGAAAGGTGTATCGGACAGATGGGAAAAACATTACAGGATGTTATCTCAGATTGGATTGGGAAGTTGAACAAAAGAGAGATTGGTGTGTTGGTTAATTCTTTTTCTTAAGTCAATGGTTAAAAATTGAGATTCTTAGGTTCCTAATTCAGTTATCCTCTGAGTAAATTGTTATTTTGAGGGGATAGCATATATAAATATCTTTTGGTGTAATGTTAATTTGAAATAATTTTTTTTAAGTATTTTGGAATGTACTTGTCCTCCATGTTCCATGAAACTAGGACAGTGGTGGGAAATGGGTAACGACTTGTTATCTTTGTTTAAGAAAGAAACGGATTGTTTTTCTTGTTTTCTGGCTGAAATGTCACTGGAATTTGAATTTTAGTTCCTTTTATTTCTCATTATTAGGCTCAAATAATACAACAATATTTCCTTTAAAAAGGCTTTTTTTTTTCACTCAGATCCTCTCTGGATGATAACATTTTTTAACTCGTCTTGCAGATCGAACTAGGATGCCACTAAATCATGCTGAGATGATAGCTGTTGGAACCCATGTTTGCAAGTAAGAATTGACCTTTTATTTTCTCATATGGAGGATTTGATGGAGAATAAATTATTTTGTGAAGCAATGTTCCTTCTTTTTTTCTTGGGGGTTGAAATAGACATTGATATTTTTAGAGTGCATGTGATTTCTAACTCTTCCAAGAGCTAGGGAAGTTTTTAGTAACAATTCTATGCTGACATATGGTGGAGTACAGCTAAGGCCACAGTCCGATAGGTAAACAGCTGAAAGTATAAAGATTTATGAGAATCTTTAGTCCTTGTGAAAGTCACAGCTGCTCAGCTACCCTTTGTGGACGTTACTCTGTCAAATTTCAATCTGTCTTGCATTTGATCTGCTATGGTGTTCTCATCCATTGACTATGGATTGGTTATGTTGACCTGAACTTCAAAAATGCCTGTTATACCCAGCCTCTAATTACTTTGTAGTAACAAAATCTCTGCTTTCTTTCAAGAGGTGGAATTGGTTAGTACTAAAATTTATGGCGGTGAGATCATTTGACAGTTTTTGAATTGATATAATCTTTATGAACAATCTGTACATGTGGATTCCTCTTGACACCTGCTGAAAAAATATAAGGTTAATTATTGCGGTTGAGGCCTTTATTGCTGTTCTTTGCTTGTATCATAAATGGGAAATGTTTTGGTTTATTTTTGGATGCAGTGATTGTTATGACAAATTGATCTCCTTTCTGCTATACTGGTTCCGGATTTCAATGCCTAAATATGTAAGTACAATTATTTTTGAGCAGCTTATAAACTTGTCTAAGCTTATAGTCCTACGAATGTTTTTCAATTTATGGGTTAGAAACTATACATGATTTTTCTTTGAAGATATTCTTCAAAATCTTATTGTTTGTCATCCTGTTCTTGCTCCTCCTCCTCATATTGCAAGTTCATCATTGAGCAATCTAAGATTATTATACAAGTATTTTGAGAAACGGAGTCGGTCTAGTGGTTATTAAAGAGAGGTCCTGTGTCATAAAGTAATGTCTTTTCATCTTATGACATGGAATTTGTATCAATGGCATATTGTTCCAACTCAAGGCACTACTATTTGGTTTGGATGGGTAAAAATGCTATCATATAAGCAGTAATTAGTGTGATTCCAGTTTACAACTCCTAATTACATGTGAGCTTGCTGTTGGTTGTTCTTCAGCAGAAAACCTGATCGCATCCATTTCATGATGAAGATTATTGCTCAATAGATACCATATAACTATTTATTACATGTGAATCATCTCGTTATGATCTTGTTTTGGAATTTTCTGCTGTGAAGAAAATTTTCCGTAAAGCACAACTGGGTTTTCTGATGCTCTTCTGTTAACTTTCTGTACAATAGCCTCTTTATTTGCTGTGATAAAAAGGTCTATGCAGTTCAGTTGCATTAGTCAATTCATTGGTTCTGATTAATTATATCATTTTATTTATCTTGTCTTTGACGTTGCTGCTGCATTCGTGTTTGCATCGTCACAGCTCCTTCCGCCAGATGCAGCTAACAGGGAGGATTGCTGGTATGGCTATGCCTGCCGGACACAGCACCACAACGAAGACCATGCGCGGAAACGAAATCATGTTTGTCGTCCTACTAAGGGTAATCATGCATAATGAGCAGCCAGACAGTCTATTGATGAATGCAGCCATGAAAATGCATGGTATTTTTTTGGGGGGGGGGGAGGATATAGTTTCAAAAGCAATATTATTGTGTCATCTAAGAACTTTTGCTTTTGAGATATTCTAGTTTTCCCTTGAAACAAAATTTCAAGCATGGATGGCCCAGTTTAAGATCTATAATCCCTCCATCCATGGTGAAGAAAATATTGAAATTGGAATTGGATAATACCATGGCCAAGGATGCACTGCTTTTTATGTGCAGTTGGTGGGGGTAGTTACAACCATGTGTGGAGTTGTTAATAACTTTGTCTTTTTTATCAACTTTCTTTTGGTGATATAAATTTTTGTTAGTGTTGGATTTAGAACTAACGAATTTCTTAATTTTACTAAAATTTATTTTCTTACTTTTGAGTTAAATTAAAAAAATTGTAAAATTAAGAATAAGTAAATTATAATATTCTTTTGAGTCATTATAAAATTATAACTATCATTCAAAAGTTCAAAAATTTAATCAAAATTTTTTTTATAAAAAAAATAGTAAAAATATTTTATTTTATTCTTAAAATTTGCTTATTAATTCAATAATTAATTTTTAAACAAGAAAGATTAATTAATTTGTTTTCAAAACTAGAGGGACTGATTTATAATTTTTTTAAAAAAATAGTACAAATATTTTATTTTATTCTTAAAATTTGCTTATTAATTAAATAATTAATTTTTAAACAAAAGAAAGATTAATTAAATTTTTTTCCAAAACTAGAGGGGCTAATTTATAATTTAAAAAAATAGTGCAAATATTTTATTTTATTCTTAAAATTTGCTTATTAATTAAATAATTAATTTTTAAACACAAGAAAGATTAATTAATTTGTTTAAAAAACTAGAGGGGCTAATTTATAATTTGCTCTTGGGAACCTATACCAGTTGATGACCTTTGGTAATAAATTAATCCACCTATAAACACGTTCCATTTGTGACATCCAAATAAGTTCTTTTTGAAAGCTAATTAGGATAGTGGATTAATTTGGTAATCTTTCATCAGCTAATTGTTTTATAATAATTTACAAGTCAACCAATTTTGCGAACGTTATTTATCAAGGAATTCAAGAACTGCACAACTTTTTCATAAGCTTGTTTTCTCAGCGAAAAAAAAAAAAAAAAAAAATCTAAGGATAGTCTTACCCTGAGACTTATATGATTAGATGTCTCATATATTTTTTAAAATGATTTGATTTATGAAATTTAGCATAATATTTATGAGATTAATATTCAAAAATTTCTTCTTAGAACATATGGATTTGACCTTATAAATAAGGTAATCATTAAGGTTAATTAGGTTCAGGTACATATTCCTAAATGATTTCTTTCACACTTCCTTAGATTCAAGATCCCACTAGTAATTAAAGTGGTAATGGTCTTTTGTTTCTTTTCAAAAGGTTATAAGTTAAAATTCTAACGATGTTAGGAATTAATCTGAATCTATGCAAGAGGAAGTCAAAGTTAACCATTCATTTTTGTTGTGGTGATCAGATTAATTTTTTTTTTTTTTTACTTTGAGTTTACTCACTTACCCCATAAACTAAGTCATTCTCTCTCTCTCTATATAATGTGATATTTTATCAATAAAATTTGATAAATGAATTCAAAAATTTCATGTAAGGATATCTTTTTTACCCTATAGACAGGGCTAGCTTCTTATAGGAAATATATTTTTTTGTTAGTATTTTATTTTTCTACTTTATGCAGGGTCGGTTATGAGCTAGATATATTTATGGTTTTTTCATTAGATAATAGGTAGTCATTACTCTATTTGAAAAACTTAATCTATTTCATTAGGGGTTTAGGCTGTCTTATCCTCCCAATGTGGGCTAAGCTGGTTTGTCTCCCCTCGTTTTCATTTCTTTTGATTAATAAATTATCAGGCTATCGTTCCTGTTTCAAAAACTTAATCTATTTGAAAAACTTAATCTATTTCATTAGGGGTTTAGGCTTTCTTGTCCTCCTAAATATGGACTAGACTGGTTTCTTTTTGTCCCCATTTCATAATTTATTTTCTTATTCAATATTTTAACAATTATAGTCACAATTAAAGCAGAGAACAAAAATTCTGTTTCCTTGAGAAATTAAAAATGCAAAAAAAAAAAAAAAAAAAAAATCCTTTGCCTCCCATTTGTCATTTTCAGAATACAACATTGCATGGACAATCCATAGCCTCTTACTTCAAATAGAATAAAAAAGTTGAACAATATGACAGACATAGAAGAAAACAAAGGAGTTAGGTAAGGGTAAGGTATGACCTTTTTTACTTCCAAAACCTTCTAGAAAACAAGTCCAAAACCTTAAATTTAATTCGACAAAACCCATCTATTATTATTAAGACAACATATCATGTTACGGGTTAAGTTCTAATAATGTTAGGAACACTGAATCTATGCATGAGGAAGTCAAAGTTAACCCTTCATTTTTGTTACGGTGATCGGATTAATTTTTTATCGACGAATTTACTCACTAAACCCTAAACTCAGGCATTCTTTATATATATATATATATATATATATATATATATATATATATGAAATTTGATAAATCAATTCAAAAATTTCATCTAAGAATATCTTTTTTACCCCATATACAGGACCATCATTAAGATTTTATTTAGTTAGGTTGAAGTATATTTTCAGTCATGTTAATGCATCCGGAAATGATTTCTTTCACATTTCCTTATGTTCAAGATTCTATTAATAACCAATAGATTTCTAATTTAAGTAACGGTATTTTTTTTGTTTTTTTTTAAAAGGTTACGAGTTTAATTTCTATTATCGTCAATAACAGTAAACTTATTGAAGAAGGGGTCATAATTAAACCTTCATCCTAGTTGTGATTATTGTTGTGATGGTCTGCTTAATTTTTTTCTGCTAGTTTACCTACATAATACAAAAACTAAGCTAGTTTTTTTTTTTTTTTTTTTGTGGACAATTGAATACCAACCACTTAAACAAAGCTAGGTATAAAGCGTAGTTATATAAGCAAAAGAACATAGATAAACACTTCAATAATGGATTAAAGAGCTTATAGTCCGATAGTAATGGTTTTTTGTAACAAGAAGTCACAAATTCAAATACTAATAAATTAATTTTGATAAGAGTTTTGGGTGTACAAGTTTAAAAAAAAAAAAAAAAACCCTCCATAATAGATTGTTTGAAATTCACTTGTCCCTCTTTTATGACTTTCAATTTCTTGAACACTTTTCTTATGAAATTGGTCTCATGTTTGAATCACCTAAATTTTCTTTGTCCCCATTTCATAATTTGTTTTGTTATTCAATATTTTAATAAATACGGTCACAATTAAAATAGAGAACAAAAATTCTGTTTCCTTGAGAAATTAAAAATGCAAAAAAAAATAAAAATCCTTTGCCTCTCATTTGTCATTTTCAGAATACAACATTGCATGGACATCCATAGTCTCTAACTTCAAATAGAATTAAAAACGTTGAACAATATGATAAATATAGAAGAAAACAAAAGTGTTAGGTAAGGGCAATGTAAGATCGTTTACTTCCAGACCTTCTATGAAACAAATCCTAAATCTTAAATTTAATACGATAAAACTCATTAATATTCTATTCGCATTACTAATTTAATTATTTAATTTGAATTTATCATAACATGTGATAAGTTGTTATTGATTAAAACTTACCTCGTGTATTCATGAGACATGTTAGTATTCAAAACAATAACAATATAAAAATAAAATTCTTAAATTAAATAAAAAAAATTTAAAATCTTAATAAAAAAGAATTGGAATAATTGAAAGTGTCCATATATGCAAAACAAAGGAGTTTGGTAAGGGTAAGGTATGATCTTTTACTCCCAAACCTTCTAGAAAACAATCCAAACCCTTAAATTTAATTTGATATTATTATTAAGACAGCATATCATGTTGTAATAAACTTATTAATAGAATATAAGAAACTGAGTTAACAGATAAAACAGACATTAAGAAGGAACAGGAAGCAGCAGAACCAGGAATTTATGAGAAGAGACAGAGGGTAGTTGCCTATCTGACATAGCCCCTCTACCTACCAAAAACTCCTTTCATGCTCTTTCCCAACCTTACACACATGATATGATATGCCCAGGAGACCCACCCCTATAAAAATAGGTATTTTTTTTATTTTTAATAAAATTATATCAATTAAATTTAATAATATTTTTGCAGATCTTAACCTAACTCTGGGGTAGTTAATTTACCTTTTATTTTCTTGGGGAGAAAAATAGAAAGGTTCTGTTCTGTTCATTTGGGGTTGTTGGCATTAAAAGAGGGTCTCTTTATCATTAAAATAACCACAAGCTTATCCTCTAACTGAGACCCTACAAATTTCAAACAGGTTGAGAGGAATTAATCTTGTGTTCATTTATGTTGATGAATGAGTGATTCATACAAGAATTTACGAATTTAAATTTTAATAAATTAATTTTATTAGAAGTTTTGAACGTATAAATTAAAAAAATATATGAATGGTTCATATTCACATTTTACATTTGTTGGGGCTGCTAAATTGTAAAATAATCTCTTAAACTTGAGGTGAAAAATAAATACTTTCTTGAACTAAAACATTCTTGAGTTTTACCTTCTAAATAATATGATTCTTTAAATTTGTTTATTTTTGGGATTTTATGGAGAAATTAACAGAAAACTCTTCTATTAGTAAACATATTTTTTCTAAATTGGTAGAAAAACAATAGAAATTGGAAGGATTTTTATAGGTTCTTATGTTAATTTTTCAAAAAAAAAAAAAAAATCCTACTCAGAAAGAGTAAATTCAAAAAAATTATATTGTTTAAAAAATAAAATCACATATTTTTTTAGTTTAGATAAATATTTGTTATTTCATTTAAATTCAGAAGGATATTTTACCATTTAGTCATGTATGTTGGACAGTAAAAAATATTCATGTAATTATGAGATAGTGATCGTACCCTCCCTTTTGTTTTGTCTTTTTTCTAGATGTGGGGATGTCGAGATTCAACTTTGAATTCATGTCCTCTCCATCCAAAAATGGTTGATTATTTCCAAATATTAATTATTATTTAATTTCTTACATTTTTAATAAAATTTACATGGTATATAATAATAATAATAATAATAATAATGATAAAGCTATTTAAAAGTCCTCTAATTTAGTTGAATTTTAGTCCATTTATATGTTTGTAAAAAACAAAAAAACCCTTGTCAAATGTACTAGAACGAGAATAACAATAAAGTTTCAATATTTCAATGCAACATAAAACATTAATCACGATTATATTAATTTAGTAAACATGACTCCATATTAAACAAACCTAAATTAAGTAAATTACCCCTAAATTAATAAGAAAAATTCTGATTAAATTATCTGAGAAATTAAGTTCCTACTAAAACTTGAAAAAATCAAGAGCAAAAATCAAAGCCAAAATTCAGTATGAAATATTTGTCTAAAGCTTTTGGAATAATTTTACAACTTCTGGGGCTACACAATATCAACTAGCTTTATCATACTAAACTCTCTGATCAGCCTCAAGCATCCAAAGGTCTGTAAAATCTATAAAGATTATCAGCTGTTACTGTTTTTCCCATGGCATTACAACTACTACATGCTTGACTGTTCTTGAACCCTAGATTGTAACACAAACATTCTGCTTCATGGACAACAACAGGAGCACTAGAACTAGGAGTAGTAGATGTCCCAAACAGTTGATATGTGACTACTTGTTCTTGTTTTGCTTGCTTTGAACCATTAAGATTGTTGATGGAAGAAACTTGAGACTGACTTGGAATTGGAAGGCCGATGGAGAGCTCAAGGTTGAGTTTATGATCTGGATACAATTCTACTTCTGTTGTCACTCCACTGCTACTATTGGAATCTTCAGCCGAGTCACTGCTTCCACCTACCTTGACGATATTGGAATTGTTTTCCTTCTTCATCATTTCGCTCATCATAAACTCTGGCTGCACTTGCACAAATGAATAGTTTTGTTCTTCTAGTTGAAAATTTCCACTCCTCTTGGTGCCCATGTTGCTATTTTTGTTGGTGCTGTTAGTGGTGGTGGTGGTGGTAGAGGAGGAGGTGGTGGTGGTGGAGTTGAGTGGACGGTGAGTTTGAGGATCAATTCCACGGCTAAAGAGCTTCCTTTTGATATGAGTATTCCAATAATTCTTTATCTCATTGTCAGTTCTTCCTGGTAGCCTAGCAGCAATGAGAGACCACCTGAAAGATTTTCAAGAAATCAAAAAAAGTTAAGACTAAAAATCATCATAACCCTTTTGAGATTTTGTTCTTGTGAAAAGAGATATGGCTTTAAAAGTTCATCAAAAGTTGCATATTGGAACCAAATACCACTGCCCTTTTGCTAAATACATATAGGTAAGGAGTGCATAAATCAAATCAAAGGCAAAAGCACTTACTTGTTTCCAAGTAAGCTGTGAAGGTTGATGATGAGTTCGTCTTCTTCTTCACTGAAGTTTCCTCTCTTGAGATCAGGCCTTAGGTAGTTTATCCACCTTAGTCTACAACTCTTTCCACATCTAAGCAAACCTATTTAAAAAAAAGAAAAAAAACAAAATAAAAGTTATGAAGGGTAATCTTCTTCTCTTCTTCTTCTTCTTCTTCTGCTTCTTCTTCATGGCACAAATTAAGAGTGGGAAGAAAAGAAAAAAAAAGGAAAGAAAAACCTTACCAGCTGACTTAGGGAGAGACCTCCAACAACCTTCACCATGAGCTTTGATATAATTAATGAGACGTTCATCTTCTTCTTTAGTCCATGCACCTTTGTTGGTGTGTTCTTTCTCACAACAAGGAGATCTGCCCATGATTTTTTTTTTGGGAGTCCAAATCAAGAGAGAAGAGAAGTGATTAAGAGACAAAAAAGAGGATGTCTTTGGGCAAGAAATGTTGACGAAGTGGAAGAAAACTGCTGGAAGAAAAACGCAAGAGAAGGGAATATAAATGGGAGGTGGTGAGGAGAGGGAGAGTAGAGGAGCAGTGCAATTATTTAATGTTTTTTTGTTTTCAAGTGTATATTGGCATGGTATTTGACTGAGTTGGTGAGAAAGATGAGTGGTTACAATTAAGTTAGTGCTGGATTTGGTAGGTAGCTCTACTTTTTTCCATTCAGATGGGTTATTTTGCTCTTCCATTTCTTGCATTTTTTTTTACCCCATTTCTCTTCGAGGATGCGAGACCCCCCCAATCTTAGAGTATATGATAGACTAGCCCTTCTAGATTTAAAAAATGAATTAATTACCCCCAAAAAAATTGACAAAAATAAAAAAAATTCTAATCGTTTAAATAAGTAATTTCGAATTCGAATCCTTCTATCTGCAAAAAACTCATTAAATAGTTATACCCATCTTGTACGTTCGATCAAATAGTGAGGGATTAGACTAAGATTTTGAGAATGAGATACCTTGGGAATTAAAAAAAAAATTAATTAATATTTAGTCCTTCTTATTTGAAAATCTAATTATTTAGTCATTTTATTAATTTTATTTTATTTCTAATTTTTAAAAATAAATAGATATTATAAAAAGATTAATGAGAGAAATTTTTTTAATTAAAGTAATGTTAAATTGAACACGATCATCACCGATCAAATGATCGAATAATTATTTTTTTAAAAAAATTATTTATTTATTTTTGAAAACTAAAGGGGTTAGTTTGTAATTACTCCCTCAACTTATACAGCAGAGGAATGGTGGTTATGAGGACTTGCATCAGGCATAAATGCATGACCAATACTCTTTTTTTTTTTTTAATATTATAATTTATTTAGTAGCATTGGAAATTAGAATTAGATATGACAGCCTATATTACATGATTTGGATTTTGGAGTAACCTTATTTATTATACATTTTTGTTTTGTTATTCTCTCCCTCTTTTCCCTTTTTTCATGTGGGTCTCAAAATATATCATGCTTGTTAAATCCATTTTATCTTACCAATAAAACATGTTACTCATGAGCTTGAATAAAATTTCTGATTTTTTTTCCTTCTCTTCCAATATATGAGAAATTTATTTTCAAATCCATGTTATGTATAGAGTTCAAAACTCATCAATCTCCCAATTAATTAACCCTTCCTTTACCTCCCCTCCCAAGACAAAAAAAAGGAAAAAAAACAGAAAAAGGAAGGCTTAAAAAAGGAATTTGATAACACCAACCTAACAAACCATGGCCTGCATTTACCCCTTTTTATTAGGCTATGACATTTTGCCGTGACATTCTTACAAATGGGCCCGATGATGGGCCAAAAAACTTGTAGTTCAGTAGTAATGATTTTTTATAATAAGAGATTACGGATTCAAATCTTAATAGACTAACTTTATTAAATAGCTTAGATATATGAATAGTTAAAAAAAAATGAAATTTTGTATCATACCGTCATATAGGGCAAAAGTGCAAACTTTAGGGCTAAGAAGGTACAAAAAACAAAGTATAGAAGATATGGAGGACCTAACATAGCAAATTTATTTCAAAATAAAAAAGGGTTACACCAAACATTTATTTTGGACACTTCCAACTCACTCTCACTCTTATCTTCTGATTCTCTTCTTTCAACTTTTGTATCATATTGTCATCTTCCTTTCCCACTCTTTGCTTTTCACTTAAAAAATTTTGTTTTATATGTTTCTTTGTTATTTTATGCAAAAAAGGGTTCTAGAAGCTAGCCACAAACACAAACTTACTCCACTTACTCTTGTCAATTTTAGGACCTAAGAAGATACAAGTAACTAACATCCCCTACCTTCCATGATTGAGATGATTAACCACAAATATGAAATCATTTTGAAGTATGAGTTTTTTTGGTCCTCTAGTTTCACTCACTTTAACAAAATTGTGCCCTTGATTACTATTTATGCTTTGCTAGGAACAATAAAAAGCATCATCTTGAAGTAATTTTACATTATAGATCCGGGCTTGACAAAGCTACATTTGTACTGATTAATAAATTGGTGTAGTAAATTTAGATTTGAATTTGAATTTTAACGATAACAATTTATGCAGTAGGGAAGATGGAATCTCGATATTGTTTTGTTTTGTTTTTTTTTTTTTGTACTATTTTGATTTAAAGAATACATTACTAGGAGTGAATACTGTTTGATTTAAATTAAAAAATCGAACCGAATTTAATTTCAAAATTTTTTGTTCGATTTCTAATGAAAAAGAAATAGCATCAGTGTATATATATATAATTTAACATTAAGAAATCATAAAATTATCCTATTTGTTCAACCTTTTATTTATTGCTAAATGTATTTTATTAATCATTAATGGGTTATATTATTTGACTTCGATGTTTGATGCTATCTTGCAATTTATTAAAACTTTGGAATGATAATATTTCTTACTTTTTACCAAAATAAAATGATGAATACATAAAAGATCTAATTCACAATAAATGTTCAATGAACCAAAAGTCATGACATCATTCTTTGTTAAAAAAAAAAAAAACACAACTCAATTTCTCTTGAAAAACTAAATAAAAACCTAAAATTTTCAATTTCAAAAACTAATTAATTAATAATTCGATTACTTCGAGTTGGATTTGCTTTTGATTTTTGTGGGTTTGATTAATGGAAAACCGAACAAAACAATCGAATACTCACTCCGACACATGACATAAAAACTTGTTTCTTTTATTAAATAAGAAAGGCATGGAATGGTTGCCAATGGACTTATACATTCAGCTTGCAGTTATTTTTCAAACTTGACTAGCTATCAATGTCATTTTCACAATCCAACCAACCTCCCTAGCAATATACACATCATTCATTTTTTGTGTTTTTTTCCAGAAACTCTCGAGCATGTCACTTAGCCGGCCATGTGAATTTTTATGGGGCTAGGGCTAGGTGGTTACACAGAACTTCCTACCTTGAATAAAATTCTAGCTTCTAGAAAGAATTGAAAGAGACACTAAATAAAATAATTGCCAAAGAAAAGGGAAGAAACTTGTATGTAAAAAAAAGAATCTTAGAGGTTGGTGACCCACCTCAATGCCCTCCTCCATAGTTTTCTTGCCCTCTGCCATCCTCAAACGATATATATAAGAGAGCAAGTGGGCCTTTCTTTTGTATGCACCTCTCATGCATGCTAATGCCATTCTCTCATTTTCTTTGCTTTCTTTTGTATTCTTAGCTAAGATTCTTTTGACTACACAAACAATATCAATCTTTGCTAATTAACTATATTTTTGTTATCAACATAGGAAGATATCAATTAGGGGTCCACGGCATTTCAGATTAGGCATACCAAGAAAAGAGAAAGGTCATGTTCTAGCATATATGTTATTGCTTAGTGCTTGACATAACAAGACCAATATTTTTTTTTTTCTTAAGATGGACCCTAAATCCTAAATTCCTCACCTCCAATATGTACTTATCTTTAGATTAGCCTAGGTAGAAAGCATGTTTATTCTTCTGCATCAAATTTCAACATTTTGATGCTAACATGTATTAAAGAGTAATATAAAAACATTTTTGAAATTTTATTCAACAGTTTAAATTTATGGGTTAAAATGGTTATTTGATATGATATCGGGGTTTTCATGACTAAACCGTCACGAATTTGAAATTAACTACCTTATTTTTTGTCCTCATCGAATAATTAAACACAAGACAATGGTGAATTTGTGTAAATTTCAAGCCAAAATGATTTTAACTTGAAATAGTATATTAAAAAATAATATAAAATTATTCTTAAAGCTTTATTTAATCGGTTAAGTTTTTTATTTGAAATGATCATCCGACAATATATAAGCAAAAGTTGTTTATAAGAAATTTTTTTGTCATGAAATATGTGTTAAGCAAGAAAGCATGTTTATTTTCTAATTCATGCCTCAATTTTTTTTTTCCCATCGAATTTCAACATTATGATGCTAACATGTTAGTCAAAGTTGCTTATACGAAATGTGTGGAGATAAGTTTTGTAGAATATTTTTAATGAAAATATGTGTTAAGATTCGGTATGGTTCCAAAATTTTCGATAATTTTTTGTTTTGTTAAGCTGATTAATCATTGGTATATGCTGATTAAATTGAGATACTAGTAGATTCAAGGAAAATTTTGCAAAATAAAACGAGGAGTCAAAAGTTTATCGAAGACTTGACTAGTCCTGCATGTCCAGCTCCCTTCTGATCACAAACACTTAATACAATCCATTTGATACACATGAAAAATAAAAATTTCCTTTTATAACATTCTTAATGCTGTCATGGATAGTCTATTTTTGACCGGATTAGAAAAATATACTTATTTAAATAGAAATAAAAAATTCAATTAATTTTTTTGTAAAATCAATAACTCTCGTTCGTTACACCTGAGAAATAAAATTTTATTTCACAAATTTCTCAATATCATCATGTACAGCATATTTTTAATCAAGTTAGAGAAATAAACTTAATTATTTGAATAGAAATAAAAAATCCAATCAAATTTTTTATACAGTGAATAGCTTTCATTTGTTACACATGAGAAATGAGTTTTTCTTTAATAACTTTCTTAATGTCAGTCTTAAATAGCCTATCTTTTATCAGATTAGGAAAAAAAAAACCTAATCATTTGGATGGAAATAAAAAAATCTAATCAAATTTTTAGTATGTTCTTAAATGGTTGTTGGTGTAGGAGAATTACACATGCTAAGCCCAATGCAATAAAGTCAGATTTGGGCCTCATTCTCAAAGAATGGACTCATCAGATTTGAGCTTTATGGAAATTCTAAGCCTAGGTGGGCCTAATATTTGTTTATCTTGTCCAAGATAAACAGATCTAGTGTGTTAGGATTTGAATTTATGACCTAACACTATCACTAGATTATAAGATTTTTTATATCGAATTAGTTAAGGATAAGCACTATTCAATCTATCATGTCTGAATTTTTGATGGATAAGAGATCATTTAGACTCTGGCCATAACATTTTCGTATGATTTTTCTTTGTTACCTCAATTCAAGCTATTGACATTCTTTGAACATGAAAAAAAAATTATGAAAAAGTGGTATTTCAGTTTAGTTCAAGAGAAAATTCAAAAGAAAAGATAAAAAAAAAAAATTTAACCGAAAACCAAAAAATCGAATAAAAAAATCAAAACCAAACTGAAAAACCGAATGATCATCCAAATCTTGGTCACTATAGAATGGTTTTCATGTTTCTTTGATAATTGCAAAGTTGATTAAAGTCATATTTAGGGACTAGTCATTATCTTTACAACAAACCTTTTGCAAGTCCAGATGACAAAGTCAATTGCCTCACAGGAAGAAAAGGAAGGAAGGAGACGTGGCAACTCTAAACGGCATGTCTTGCTTCATTAGTTTATAAAAAATATGTTTGCTAGCTCTTATGATGTTCCTCTGCTCCTGCACAAGTTTGTTTGTTTTATATATATATATATATATATATATATATATATATATGCACTTAGAATCACTACAATATACTTTACTTTTACTTTTAATCCTATATTTTGATACCAAAATACAAAACAGTCCCTAGACCGATTAAAATTCTATTTAGTAGATAGCGCAACTGAAAATTTACTTTAGAAGGATAAATTTAGTCCTTTTAGTTTATGGAAAGATAAAAATGTTTTCTTCATTTCAATATTTTTGTAATTAGGCTCCTGATTTTGATTTTTTTCTTCATTTATCAAAATTAAATTATCTTTCTATGTCCATTCTTTTCATACCAAAAAAAAAAAAAAAACATTTTCAAATATTTTTAACGAAAAATGCATACGAATGCTTCATTCGACAAATTAACAAAAAATAAATAATTCTATTAAACTAATTAATAAAAATACAAGAGAAATATTTTTTTGTACCTTTTTGTAATTGTATAACTAATAGTTGTGATCAAGTGTATATTATTGAAGAGAGAAAAATAATCACAAAAAAGTCGTAACAAGGATATAATATCAACTAGCAGTGTCATGTAATCCCATATTACCAATTAAAGAATAGACTAGATTGTTTTTTAAAAAAAAAAAAAATTAAAGTTTAAAAAATCTCAAATATGAAATTAGAAGTTCAATGACTAATTTTCAAATAGACTAAAATTCAAATTTTATTACCCTCTGCAACGAATCAAGAATCACCTATCTATCTATGGCACCTTCTTATCTCTCTTATGAATTAAATATTATTAATTACTTCTTAATTACCATAAATTTTTTTATCGGTATAGTATATTCCAATTTTGTTCCTGGCTAATGCAACCTCTTTAGCTAATATAATAGATTTGATTCACATGTCCCAAATTCATATAATAATTTCTCGAATAAGAGAGGACGCCATTAGGATTTGGGAATGATTGTTCAATTTAAAGAGGAGATTTTTCATCTAGGGAGCTAGCTTAACTGCCCAGTTTATTTTTTTGGGTCCTTTTCTTCTGGTTTGGATGAGATGGTTTTGTGTCTTTATAACCTTGAATAAACGTATGACTACAACATTAAATTCTTCGTAATGTTGTCTTCTCTATCTTTGGAAAAACCCCAAAGACACTGGAAGCGCATTTGGTCACGATTCTCTGGGGCACGAACGGAATTAATTCATGATCCCAAGTTTATACGATCCAGCCATGACTCAGCAGGGGCCATACTTAAATCTTGATCTGTTGCCTTTGGATTCTTAGCTGGAGGCCACATTTTCTCGTCAAGAATCCATGAGAATGTCAAAATTAAGTGACAAAAATTGTTCTCGATCGTCAAGAAGATAGAGCTTCTCATTAAAAGTAACTTCCAAAAACTGATGGCAAAACCACATTAACATCAATCTCAGCACCATCACCAGCTGCTAAAGCTGGCTAGTTGCTCAAACTTAAGAGCAAGCTAAGATGATGAGGACATGAATATGCGTATCTAACTAATTAAACTAGCAAACAAACTTATTTGAATTCCCCAAACAAAGGATATTGAGTGCTTATTTTACGCCAAAATGCTTAGCTACCTCTCATATGACTAGAAAGACTGGCCATATATAGCAATGGTTGCTGCATTTTCTTTGCTTAACTTAACAAAGCTTGGTGCAAAAGCAGCGGCGACGGAATCCTTTGCATCTTCCACCGGAGAAAGCTTCATTCCTGCACACCATAGCACAGTTATGGTCCCTTGCACATGGGCCTTTAAAATAACGGCTCTGTGACAAACAAACCCTAGCCTCAGTTGGTGCCACCATCTCTTCTGCATGCAAAAAACACACACAATCACAACTGAATTTAACTACAAATTCAAGCTAGTAATTGTTAAAGAAAAGAAAATAAGTGATATTGGTGCAATTGTTACATAAAAGTAAATAAATATTTTTTGTTTACGAGAAGCCAAGACAATGAGCAGCAAGAAGAAAAGGCCAAAGGATCTCTTGATCTCCATGTCTTTATCAGAACCTTAGCTAGCTAGCTAGCTTGATCTTTCACTGCAAATTGAACTCCTAATTTATATTCTGGTATGGGTTTTACGCTATATATATATATATATATATATATATATATATGTGGATGACTGTGATCTAGAATATGTTAGCCACATGATGGACTGTAATTTCCATGCTGTAAGGGCAGACAGATACATAGAAAGTGTTAAAAGTAAGAACATATTCACATGCACTAAAGTCTAAAGCTAGCAGAGATTCCCATGCTCCTCCACCTCATGTCCTACTCATGGGTTTGTTTTGGTCTGGCTTGGAGGATCTCTGCTTTGCTATAATACATGGAAAAAACTATAGAGCTCTCGATCTATTTCACTATTGGATCCGATAAAAATTAATTTATAAACAAATAAACCTTATAAAAATACTTAAAACTGATTGATGATCTGATAAGTGTTTGGTGAAATTAAATTTATAATATCAATTTCAATTTAATTTATAATATTTTAATTTTAATAAAAAATTAACATTTATAATAAGTTGTAAGTTGTTTGTTTTACTTATTAGTTACTATCGAGAATATCAAAATGTTTAAAATTAAATAAAAAAAAGTTTTATGATGGATTGGCAACAAAAATGAAGAAAAAACAATCAATTTCTTTCAAAAAAAACAACGACGAAAAGAAAAACTATCTTTAGTTAATGATGGATTAACGATCGAATTGCAGCCAACATTAATATTAGATCATTGTGGTAGTTTTTTAGTCGTTATTTAGTGAAAAATTAAAGACACATTTGCGATGAAATTGTGATGTATTATATGATGGAAAGACGATGATTTCGATGTAAACTTAGTGACGAAATAAAACAAATTAGTGGATGAGTTTTCATCGCTAATTTAGCGATATAAACTATTCATTTCATAGTAAATGTTAACGATAGGTGTTTTTCAGGATGGATTTTTTTCGATTGCAAACCCATTGCTAAATTAATTTAGTAATAGATTTTGCTGAAATAGCCTCGCTATTGTTACACTGTTTTCTTTTAGTGGTAGTAGACAATGATATGTAATGTAGAGAAATCAATTCTATTTACGGACTCAAGAGTTTGTTTTCTTCTTCCACGTACCAGTACCAATACAATGTGGGATAAATTATAAATTAGTCCCTATTATTTTAAAAAAAGAATTTACTAGTCCTATTCCTTTTAAAGTTAATTATTTGGTCTCTCACATTTTAATTTTGTTAATAATTTAATCATTTCATCAGTTTTTTGTTAAATTATAAATTTTGATTCTCATATTATCATTCTTTTGATTTTTGGTTGAGAAGAAAGAAAAAAAGTGGATGAAAAAGAGACATAAAGCATAAAAAAGAAGAAGATAATTTAGAGGTAAAATCACTAATTTAACAAAAAAAAAACTGATGAAAAACTAAATTATTAACAGAATTAAAACATAAAAAACTAAATGATTAATTTTTTAAATAAAAAAAGACTAATTAATTTGTTTCTCAAATGGATTAATTTATAATTTACTCTTATGCTGTGACAATACAAAGTAATTAAGTACAAAAACCTCTTAAAAAGGAAAAAAAAAAAAAGACAAAACAAAACAAAAATGGGGATATGGAGTCATGCAATTACTTTTATTCAGTTAAAAAAGTAGGAAACATACAATTTCTGTAATTACAAGTACTTGTCATCGTGCAATTTTAGTTATGTAATATGGAGTGAATTGGAGAATGATTTCTCTAATTTGGTCCTTAAAATTTTTAATTTTTTCATATTTTCCCCCACCCCCAACATGCTTTATGTCTAACCTCTCTTTAATTTGATCTATTTTTAAGTTTTTCCTCCTAATTTTATGTATCACATCGACTAAAAAAAATTATCCCCTTCGAGTGAGATCTTGAATTAGTTTTTGAATAAATTTAAATTTTTTGTCCTGATATTCAAGGATTTCTCAATTTCTTCTCTATTGATTATCCTTTAAAAAATTTCCGTTCTTTTTATTATTAAATAAATAATATTGACATAATATATACTGATAGTTGGATTATATCTATTCATAGAACGGGGTAAATAATATAGAGATATATTGGATTACCCTCTACCGATCTTTCAATCGGAGAGTATAAAAAAAGAAAAAAGAAAAAAGAAGTAATGATGGATTCACTCTCTTTTTTGTTTCACTCTCTTAATTACTCAAAAGTGCATTCATAACCCTGGAATTTGTACCAAATAAAAACATGATTTTAGAAAGAAAATTATTGCATTCAATAACCATTCTTCATGATTCATTAATATGTTTCTCCCAAAAATGGAAGTAACAATCTTTATTCAATTACATATCAAACCCCAAATTAAACAGAGTACTAAACTTGCTTTATTATTATTGATGCTGCTTGCAAGATCACAAGCTCTCTTATAAGGAGGCAAGATTTAACGATGATAAGAGCAAAGGCAGCGGCCACGGAGTCCTGAGCATCTTCCACCATAGCAACCTTCATTTCTGCACACACTAGGACAGCCGGAGTCCAGAGAACATGCACCCCAATATTTTTGCTGTCCCTATTCATATATATATATATATAGAAGTCTCGTGCGTGCTCTTTGAGCTGCTGGCTTAGCTAGAAGATAGTGCACTGTAGGCGAGGAGGACAACTACTGGTGAAATGACAAGAGCAAGCTTGCCTGGAATCTATACACGTAATGAAGTACCAGCCAAAATATATTATTTCGTTAACGAATCTATTCAGCGTTATATCATTTTTTTTAACTCACGTCTTCAGTTGAAACTCCTTTTAAACTTAAAACTTGTAAAATCTAATTAAAAAGAGAATTATTTAATGAGAAGAGAAAGTAAAATTCGAATTTTTAACTGTTTAACTAGCAAAATTATGATATTATGTTACAATACCGTCGTAATCTTGAAATTTAAGTAGCTAAGTAAAACTATATGATTGACTTTTCTAACACCAGATAACTAGATGTAATTGGATTTATGTGCTTGACACAATGGAACAATGTTCTTATTGTATGCGGTGAATTTTTGGCATTAGGCAAGTTTTGGTGGCATAAATTCCTATTGCCATGACCTCAAGCTGTTGAGCTGGGTAGAAACTCTCTTGCCTGCGCCTTAAAAGATTCAACAATGCGTGTACGCTTTTCAATTAATTTGTTCTTCGTCCAATTTAGCCAGTCAAGTAGATTGAATAAGCAACTATATTAAGGTAAACTTGAAGCTTGAGTTTGCCCATGTCATAATCCATCTTTACCTCCAATAAATTTTTATTTTTATACAAAATTCGGAAAATTCTAAAAAACTGCATGTTGCATAGTTTCTTGATTTTTCTATGATTTTTAGGTATTTTTATAAATTTTTATGATTTTAATTTCTTAAGATTATCCTTTAAGGAAAAGAGAATAAAATTGAAAAGATAATTCAGGATCCAATTGAAAAAGATGTGAGAGGCGAGGACCAAATAACATCCAATTAGGCATACAATTGGAAGAAAATGAAAATCAAGGGCCTTTATTGAAAATGAATTAGGATGGAATTAAAATAAATTAAAAGAAAAGGGACTAAAAATTTTCAACGAGAGGCCTAATTGAAGAACAATTTGAACACGGAGGGATGAAATTTGAAGCAAGAATGGATGACAGGGAGGAACTTAAATGTTCGTCCCAAACAACGCATTGTTCGTTGTCTCATTTCTTCCTTCTGTTAGCTCTACTAGCCAGGTTCTTCCTCGCAAAAGAGAATACTTGCAGCATATGAAAAATGGAAAACACAAGAAAGAAACAAAGAGAGGGGCAGGCATTTTGTCTCTTACCTTGACCCGTTGCCCCCGTCACCCCGAACCCTTACCTTACCATTGATTCCCATTTATTGTCAATTGTGACCACGAAAGCAGTTGACAGCCACCATGCATGACCAAGACAAAAAGAGGAGCGGATTGGGATAGAGAAAAAGGTGGGCTAGTGTGAGACAGATGTCGTTACCCGATATTCGATATTCGATGAGAATTTCGAAAAAATTTAAAATTTTATTATTTGAATTATTTATAATTTATTCTGAAAATGTGAATTATTATTGATTTTGAAATCGTCACTGTTATTATTGATTTTGGAATCACCATCTAAAATTGAAGAAACTAAAAACCTAAAAAAGCACTAATGAAGAGATTTTAAGTCAAGGAGTTAGCTACGTTTTTGAAAGATATCGATCATCCAAAAACGTATTTTTTCTAAAAAAAGTATTTCATCTAGTTTAGTCCAAAAATTTATCTCCTAAAAGTTTTTATTTTTGTCAAAATATTTCTTAATCAATTTAACTTTTTATTTATTTATGTTTTTATGTCAAAATAAGTTTTTAATTTTTGTTCACATCATCGTATTGAATCAAAATTGGATTCCTTCATCGGGAGACACATCAATTCAAATATCGGATCAACTTTAAGTCTCGATACAACCAATATGTCGAAGAACGCTCTAATTACTAAAGTGATTTTTGGCTAACAACGAGTTCCTATTAGATGGGGGATTTTGATAAATTTTTTTTTAGGATTTTTTTTTTTTATTTTTAATTTTTTAGTTTTGTTTTTTTAATTTTTCTAATACTCATTTCTTTTTTTATCATTTTTGTTAATACTATTTTTTATATTTTTTTTTCAATGGAGAATTATCATCGGTTCCTAAAAATTAGGAGACTCAACAATTCGTCTACCAATTAATTATTTAACCTAATTATTGAAATAAATTCTAAAGTTAACATTAATTAAATAAAATCAAGGAAATAATCTAAATTAAAAATAAAGTAATAAATAAACATGCATAAAATAAATTCAGGGTCAATCTAACCAAAACTTAAAATTAGGGCATTGGGCTTTTTGGGATCAATGGGCCTCGGCTTATTGGGCCAAGCCCACTGGATTGGGCCTAGCCTCCTCTCTTCTTCTCCCCTCCTCCTTGTTTTTCTTTTTTCGGACCTTAGCCCAACCCAAGTTTCCTTCTTTTTTTTTTTTTTTTGGGGGGATAGTAAAATTACTTTTCTTGATCTAGTAAACTATTCAAGACAAAGTGTTATTTCGATCTTGGATTTATTTATTTATGTTTGTGATTTTGTTACAATCTGATTGAGATTTATCACTCCTTTCGTCGTAGAATGCCATGATACATATGCTGAAAAAGAAGGCGAGAGGGAGGGACCTGATTATGTTGATCATCTATCTAGAGTCTAGATATGCATCAAATTGGTGTCATTGTCAATATCCAGTCTTTGGTATGAACGACGAAGCACAAACTTCTGTCTCACTAGAGGAACATTGAACAACTGGAAAACGATAGGCGATAGCTAGCTAAGTCAACTGATTTTTCCGAAACCTCAGTTGGTAAATAGATAAGATTTGCTCAGCCAGCAGTTGGCGTGGCTAGCCATCAACTATCCTGTTGAAAACCGTCGTCAATGGATATATGAGGGCAGGGAAAGTTGAAGCAAAAGACCTAAGCAATCACATGCACATGGGCTGTTAATTTGCGTTTTCGAGTTGCTGGACCCTCCTGATCAGCAAAACAATGACAACCGAAAATGTGCATCTTCCTTGATTGCCTTTGTTCCTTCGTTTTTGCCCTTTCGAAGCCCGACCACATTCATTATCTATCCATGCTTTTACCCTTTTTCTTTCACTTTGCCAGGACATGGAATAATCTTTTGTCATTTCATTTTTGACTCAAGAAACTAAAGTTGTTTCTTCCAAGAATATATTAATTTGGTTTTGCATGAATAGTATTTCCTTTTTCTTCCATTTTGGCCACTGTAATCGATCATTAAGAACAACGAAAAAAACATTTCCATATGTTCTAAAAGCATGCATGAGTGTTGATGCCAATGATGACCATCCACCTCCTAAGATAAACTAATCTCCCAATTTTCTTCATGCCTAAAAAGGGGCGGAAGGAGATGTTAACAAATGGAAATTGATGCATGAAGCATGAATTGATTAGGTAAAGGAATCAAAATCAAAGGCCAAGGGGTTTTAGGTGGCTTACATAATTGAAAATTGGTGCCAAACAGCAAAGAAACATCATTTCTTGGGTCCCTTACCTTAGTTGTCTCCAAGTTTCTTATTAGGATTTTGCACGTATAGACATTTCGTACATTTCGATTTTTAATTAAAACTCTTTTTTTTTTTCAATTTAAGAATTTTATTTTTATATTATTATTTTTTTGATCCTAACGTGTCACATAAAAATACGTGGTAAGCATCATCTAATAATAGCTCGTCACATGTCATTATGGATCTAAATTAAGTGATTGAATTAGTAACACGATAAGTTATTATTGGTTAGAGCTTGTTATCCGTATTTACATAGCAAGTTGGCATTGGTTAATATCCGAAACAACAACAATATAAAAGTAGAACTTTTAAATTAAACAGAAAAAAAATTTAAAATCTCAATTAAAAAATTCAAATTGTACGGTATCTTAATATACGTAAAACCCTAATCTTATTACCTTAATTCTAGAGAAGAGAAGTATAATGATCCTATTTCATTCAAACTTAGGAAAAAAGTAGATTGGTAATTGGAGTGTTAAAAGAACAAATAAACCAATCAGAAACTTTTGGAATATGAGATTATTTTCTGGTTTAATGATTATTAGATTCTCACTGTTTATTTGATCGGTTACTTACTTCTGCATTTCATAAGGTTTTTAAATTTGTCTGTCTGTCTGCCAACCAGGACATGCAAAGCACCATGAAACCAAGACAAAATGAATGCATTAGGACAGGAAGCTACAGTCAACTGATAAACCTGGAGTAAATTATAAATTAGTCTCTTTAATTTTGAGAAACTAATTGATTAGGTACTTTTGATACAAAAACTAATTATTTTGTTCCTCAATTTTTCTTGTTTTTCATTCTTTTCCAATTTATTTTGATTTTTTGTTTTAGAAAATTAAAAAATATATAATATTATAAAATATGAAAGGATTGACGAAAAAAAACTATTTTAAAAAAAAATAATATTAAATTAAACGTGGTCAATACTGATTAAGTGATTAAATAATTAATTTTTAGTTTTAAACTAAAAATAATAAAAAACTATTTTAATTTGCTTGGTAAACTTGATAGAAAACTTCAATTATTGTTGTATTGTTGAGATATTGAAGGGCAAACCTCAAAAATACTTACCAATAATATAATTAGTGAGGGGCAAAATTGATATCAACCTAATAGTTGAGGGGTATGTTTCCTGATATAGAAAGCTTGGAGGATATAATATAGTTGAACTGAGTTATGCAAAGCTCACAAATTTTAGTGATTAAACTTAGTATTAAGAAAAAAAATTGATACCCAAGAGAATTGATTTGAATAAAAAAACTCTAATCGTTTACGTGATCTCGAATTCAGATTCTTATGTATGTAAAAAGTTCTTTGGATAGATCATCGTCTTGTGTGTTTGACAGAACCGTAAGTGATTAGTTAAGATCTCTAAGCTTGAGATACCTTAGATAATCCAAAAGGAAAAGAAGTTGATTAATTAGATTATGAAACCTTGGAGGCTGGCAGAATACCTAAAATTGTCAAGAGGCACCCAAGAAGAGCTTATAGAAAGAAGTAGGAATTAAGACCAGAATAAGGTAACAAAAAAGTACTGTCTTCATTAATATCAAACATAGTATGTCCAAAAGATAAGCACTTAACTACAGGGAAAGAGAGAAAGAAAGCCATAAAAATTTACTAGCATGATTATCTTGACAAAACATCCTTAATTCCATTTCCCACAAACCAAAATCAAATTCCATTTTAGCAACAAATATAATTAAACATAAAAACAATAAAACAGCTTCAAGATTTCCTTTTCTTCTCCATAATCAAAAACACCTTCAAGCTGTGATATGATCATGTTCATAATATTAGCAGCGGCAGCAGCAAGAATGGTGAGCAAAATCTTCTTCTACCACTAAACTCCCATTGATTAGTCAGAAGAAGGCTTGGTTTTCAAGCGATAGAGGAGCTTTTTCTTCTTCTTGGAGGTGGAGTTGTCAATGGTGAGAACAACTTTACCACTTTCGCCTATTTTAAAACTGTTGCAAACCACTGGTTCTTCAGTTGCAGCAACCTTTCTTGCCTTTTGGATTATAACTGTGTAGCTATCTTCAGCACTTGGTACAAATTCTGCACTATAGCTCACATCCCATCCCACAACTCTCACTTCCCAAGTTAGAAGACATGTCTGCAAATCAATTCGATTATCATTAATCAAGGAAAGAACCCTAGATTATTACATCACTGTACAGTTCAGAGTATCCAAGGAAATATTCCCTGGTCAATGAGACGCCAGTTTAAGTGCTGCAAGTTAGACAAAGTCACATGTTTCTTTTCTTGGGTTCCTCAAAAAGGAAAAGAAACTGACTTTTGTAAGTATTACTTAACAGTTAAAAGAGAAAATGCAAACCTACCTCAGTAACTGGGAATTCTACAGTATGCTTTGCTGCTGGCTTCAAATTAATCTCAGTAACAGCATCATCTGTGCCAAATTCACCATCTTTGCTTAGTCCTCCATACTTTACTGGTATCTGCTCAGCAGCGATGTACCTAATTGACGGTAAAATGAAGTTTTTAACTCACAGCCCAAATGGTACAAAATGCATGTCAGAAAGCCAAGACTTCTTCTGTAGCAAATTAAAATTTTTTAGTACAAACCTGATAAGGGTTTCTGCAGATTTTGAAGGTCCAGAGAAGACAAACTTGCTTCGGGTCCTCTGGGTCAAAAATGGACTTATCATTCTATTGACCGTTAGGTACCACCAGGGGACATTGATGAAGATCTGCAGAGTAAACACCAAAGAATCAAACATTTTGAATTTATTTATTATCAAACAAAAAATAATCATGAAATCAAGCAAACAAATATACCTGTTTGGCCACAAATTCTGGATAGTTGTCTTGAAGCAATTGAAGTGCCTGGCTAGTAGCTTGTCTAAGCTCTCTCTTAGCAGGTCCAGGAGAGCTTTTTAAGTCATTAACCTGAACAATTGTAGAAATTCCACCAGGACTGAAATCCAATTTTCTGATACTTTTTTCCAGGATTTGAATTCTCCATCTCAAGAATCTTTGCCTCTTCTCTTCATCAGAAAATGAAATCTTGTAAAGCTCCTTGTTTTGGAACTCTCCATAGACATTATAGCAAACTGGGTGTCCCTCTTTATCAAGGCCATGCATAAATACCGCCTTTCCCAAATCATCACAGCCCAAATCTTGTTCAAGCAATTCATCAATGCCAAACTCCTTTCTCCAGCGAATTGTGTTCTTGAGCATGGTGAATGCATCTTTCACCTTGAAATCCCTGGCTCTGAGAAATTTCAAGAGAATCACATCAGTTCTGTCATCAGCTAGAAGTGGTATGCCCCAGATTGATACTTCCTCTGGTTTTACTTCCACAGTCTCAGATTTAACTTCTTTAGCTTCCTCGTCCAACGCTGGGGCGACCTTTGTCTCTCCCTCAGATTCTTTTGTAGCCTGAGCTGAGGTCTCCTCTTGTGAAGCCACTGAAGAAGAGACAGCTACAATGGTCTCTTCAATGGCTTCCACCGTCTTGGCACCATCATCATCCACAACATTATCAGCATTAGTATCGCTAGCAACGGCAGGAGCAGGAGCAGGAGGAGGAGCCACCTTTTCTTGATCATCAAGAACTTCACTTTCCACCACACGAACCTTCTCTTCTTTTTCTGCTACAGCTTCACTCTCTACTTTTTCCTTCTCCTCTGTCACTGCTGGTGTTTCCTCTTCTTGTGCTGGTTTTTTCTCCTCCTCTGCTTCCGCCACCACAACTTCTATCTTCTCCTCTTCTTTAGCTGGTGCTGGTGGTGCAGCTGAAGCACTAAATTCATGCTTGTTAAGTGCTTCTTGAACAAGTTGCTTAAATTCTTGAAGAGCTTTCTTCTCAGAATCAAGAAGATCAGCAACTTTAGTACTCTCTTCCTTAAAACAAACTAACTGAGAAATCTTCTCATCATCACCTCCACCGGGTTTCAAAACCTCATTTTCTACAACAGCCTCCTCAACCTGCTTTGGCTTCATTGGCTCCTCTTCAGTCTCAGGCAGTGGCACTGGCGGCTCTTTCTCCACCACCACTGGCATTGTTGGTGGCACTGGTGTTGCTTTCTCAGCTTGTGGAACATCAGTTAGCACCACCACTTCTTGTTCTACTTTTTCTTGACTCGTCTTTTGCACCTCCACCTCTGCCATTCTTGATAATACAACAAGAAATTTTAGAGATAGAAAAAAGAGAGGGAGAGGCTATGGTTCTTGAATTCTTGAAATGTTTGTGCTTTGAGGGTGTTGTGAGAGGTTAACGGCGAGAGGGGAAGTTATAAAGAGTGGAGTTGTGGAGGTGGTGGTTGAGCAAAAGGGCCAAGCTGTGCAAAGCCAGCTTGAAATCTATGATTCTCTTTACGTGCGTGGGGACCCATAACTATCCATTTGTTCTTAATTTTCTTGAATCTTAGACAAAATCTTTGCCCCATTTGTAACGGTGTTTTCTTCTTTATAGGGTAAACTACACTTTTGTCCCTATAGATGTATCACTTTTTCATCTCTAATCCTATAGTTCAAAGGTTTTCAATCTAGTTTTCTAAAAATTTTGATGTTGCTTCTAACCGTTTAAATAGCTAGAAAGGCTTTTCTTGATTAGCCATCTCAAATTCTTATACAAGGATGATATCTTATAAGAATATACTTGGGAACGTGAAATAATCATAAAATAAATTTCATTGTTCTTATAAGTTGGCTGAGATAATAAGAAAAAATTCAATTAACTAAAATCATATATAAGTATTCAAAATATGTAGTAAACAAATGAGTAAAGAGGTATAAACAATTATAAAGCTCAATTGAGAGACATAGAGATTCGCTTGAGGTATTAGAAACTTGTATAAATAATGGACATATAAGATTAAAAAAATGAATTTTGTAATTTTAGAAAATGAAATTATTATCGGAATGAAATATCTAATAACCCAACACAAGATAAGAGTCTAAATTTTTCTTACCATAATTCAGAAACATTAAAAACATGCCCTTTATAATTTATACGTATGATAAATAAGAATTTATATTGATCCGACAAATCTACAAGAAGTATTTCTAATAATATATATAGCTTATTTATATATGTGTGCACGCCCAAAATTTAACTATTGTTTATTAATCAGTAGATTTAAATTCAGATTAAATAAATAAATAAATAAGATGTAATTAAATATTTCTTCAAAATAAATAATTTTATATATTGAAAGTATAAGTACCAAAATTTGCCTGTAATAGGATATTATATTTATAGCTTCATTTGCTTAGTGTTTTCATTCAAGTTATTTGTATGTCAAAACTTCCCCCAAAAGTGAGGTTATGGTTAGATTTTATTATCTACTTCATGTTTAGGGATAAAATTGAAACTTTCAAACGTATAAAAACTATATTGGAGAATTGCAGACTACACTAATAGAAATGGCACGTTGATAAATCTATAGGGACTAAAGTGTAGTTTACCCTACCTAGTGTTAGAAATCATCGCCGCATGTAGAGGCATTTTCTTTTGTTCTTATGCGTTGTGGGTGTGACCTGTGCGTGTTTTTGGGGGTTGTAAATGGACCCTACAACAGTGTGCCAAGAAAGAAGGAAAAAAGGATGAAAATGTGACCGTTTGATGTGTTGGACACACCTAAGATCCTCGCGTCATTATCTCATAGCCAGTTGGATTATCCCAACCGTTGAAGAAGAAGCGGGACCACACTCATATAGTGGACCCAACTGCTTGACATTCTTCCCCACGTTGGGTCAGGCCAACTCAGATGTTGTGCCAACCCTCAAAAGAATTGGGTGTTTTTGAAAATAATTAAGGTTAAATGAGTGAAACTTTCTCTAAAATTTAATCTTTTTAAAAATTTTAATTCTGGATTTGACAGTCTTCGAATTTTATTTTTTAAAATTTAATCCATTCTTTAATTTTATTTTTTTTGTCAAAAATAATGGTCAATAAATAGTCTTGTAATAGAAATTATTTAATAAGATTTATCAAGAGTTTTCCAAAAAAACAAAAAGTTGATATTATTCCAAATTTTTTTTTAATGTTTTTAATATTTTAAAATAAAATATATATTTCTTGATCTTTAAAAATTCTTCTTTTTTTTTTTTATAAAATAGATTGAGTTTTTCTCAATGTATGTGTAAAAATTCAGTTCAAAATATTAAGTATTGAATGTTTTAGAGACAAAAGTGATAACTGAAAATCATAAAATAAACTAATTTTTTTTTAAAAAAAAAACCAAACTCGAAATTAAAATTTTTAAAAATGATTTTTAAATAAATTAAAGTTCGGGGCTATTTAACCAATAATTAATTGTGTCAATCAATGAAAATAAATTGATGCAATGAATGTTCATTATATAAAACGGTCGCAATTATTTGGTATTAATGATTCAAATAAGGTTTGTTCACATTTGTGAATAAGATTTCATTGCTATTCAAATCGAAAATGAAAGTTAAGTTTTTTGGCCTAAATTTATGACATTCACTCAATGATACGTTTTCTTCCTTAATTTTTTATGTTCCAATCTTCTGACTCATAATCTAGGTTATTTTTTTTTATTCCAATCTTAGACCAATATTCAGAAAAAAAAATATTAATAAACAAACACACCACATCAACGTGAATAATGGATTTTTAAAATTATTTAAAAAGGTGATATAATCTCAATTGACAAACAAATTAACTAAAAAATATCAGTTAATGTTGAATTAAAAAAAAAAAAGAAGACGAAAGTTTTTATGAGATCTAGCATTCAACTTACCTATAGTTCCATGCATCTAAAGAACCTATGATCTTTTTTTCTTTTTCTTTTTTTCTGGGATAGAGAAGAATTATGCCCCATTTCTTTGACTTTTGCAACAGAGAATTGCTGTTAGCCTGTGAAATAAATGGAGTGCGATTCGTAGATATTCTAAAAATAATTAATAATATTTATTTTTATAAAAGAGATAAACATAAAAAAAGTTTAAAAAAAAATTGAGTTTCTTCGAAGTAGTTTTGTCAATTTTTTATGAAACGGAATATGATTTTCTTTTTTTTATATATATCTATTTCTTTCTTAAAACAAATTTATAGAGAAAATATTATTAATTATTAGTATATGCAATTCTAATCCTCAATTTTTTTATTTTTGTTAGTCATGTCAGTACATCTTGCTAAGGCAGTGAAAATAATGTTTTCAAATAGATGGGGTTCGAATTTGTACAAAAAAGAAAAGGCAGCCATGGAGCCTAGTTTTGAAGAGTGATTTTTCTTCGTTTTCGGATAGAATTTCCAAATAATTTTCTCAAATCGTTATCACAATTTTCCTGCTTCTATTTCAAAACGAAAGGTTTTAACATGGAATATTATCGAGGCTTGATGACTTCACCCATGGAGGACGGTCCTTCCTTCGTACATTTAGACTGGAATAACCTTTGAAGTAAATATTTTGGCCCATTTTTACTGTTGCACAAAGGTATTATTTTTTTTTAACTCACACATTTAAGATTTCTAGTAGAATCAATCTGTTAGTATTTAAACTTGTAATCTCTTATTATAAGATATTAGTATCATTATCATTGCGCTATAAGCTCTTTAGTATTTTTTTTTCAACTCACACACTCAAGGTTCTTAACGAATTAGTCCGTTAAGATTTAAACCCATAATTTCGTATTGTAAGAAATCACTATCGATAGACCACAAGCTTTTTGACTCTGTTGCTCAAAGGTAGAGTGTAATTCCTAATTCATATACGAAATTGTAGTTTTAATATTTTTTACCGTCATTTTTATTGTGTGTCTTTTACTTTTTATATTTTATGTGTTAATGATATTGCTATTCTAGTTTGGGCAATTTTTATGGTTATTTGAAGGCATTATAATTATAAGATTTTGAAGTTATAAACAATTAAAAAATCCATAAAAATCTTCTCATTTTCTCGACCAACTTAGGAAAATATGTTTACTAAGCGAGAAAAGAGAGGAATTTAAAGATCTTTTACGTCAATTTTTCAATAAGATCTCAATAGAAAAGATAAATTTGAAGAATCATATTGTTTAATGGAAAAAATTATATATTTTTTAGTTTATGAGGGCATTCATTTTTTCAACAAAATTATATATTTTTCTTAAGCTGAAATAGGTATTTTACAATTTATCCTTTATTTCTTGAACTCTAAACTTGTTTGGGTTATATTGGTGTCTGATATTGGTTTAGTCTTAAACCAATTTTTTGGGTCCTTAACTTATTCTTTTGGGCCACGTTTGTATCAATAGTTGGGCTCTACGTTTTATACTTTATGTGATTGGGTCAGATTAGTCTAAACTTGTTTGAGTCTTGAGCCCATATTGAATTGACAACTGACCCAAACTGAACCTATATTGGATGTAACTATAAATTAGGAAAAAGTTTGACATAATGGGATACTGGGCCTTAAAATTTAATACCTTAAAGGCCCAAATTTAATGGTTGAGTTGAGTTAACTTAAACTTCAATGACATGAAAAATTCACAAAATCTATTGCCCAAGCCACACTTTCCTCACTAGTTGTACGTAGAGGTAATCATTTGTTTTTTAGTTTGGTATTTACCAAACTCATCAAAATAAAAATCGAATTAGGCATTTTTTTCATTCAAAATTAAAAAAAAAAAAAAATACAATAAAAAATTGGCATGTTGTATACTTTATTTTTCCATGATTTTTAGGCATTTTTTTTAAATTAGAATTTTAATTTATTAATATTATTCTCTAATTTTAATTAAAAGGAAAAAAAAGTAATAATTTTGGAAGATGGTTTGGTATCTAATAAAAAAGATGTGAAAATTGACGACCGAATAACATTCAATCGGGAATGTAATTAGAAAGGGATAAAAAATCAAAAGCCTTGATTCTTGATTGAGAATTAATCGAGTATGGAATTGAAAGAAGTTAAGAGAATAGGAATTAAACAATTTCAATTAAAGAGCTAACCGAAAAAAAATAATAAAATATATATTAAAATTGACTGAAACAAACCAAGAAAAAGATTAAAAAGAGAGCTTGAATTGAAAAACGATTCAGTAGTGGAAGGGCAATTGAAATTCTCTCCATATTTATACACGATAATTAAAAAGACATGACCGTTGTAGAGCAAAAAGATGTCTTAATTCTAGTATATGTTAGAACGTTGGAAATTGAGGGG